GGGCTTGGGGAAGGGCCCGGCCACTGCAGGCCGACGCCGGCGGCAACAGACTGCGCCTTCCTGCAGCCTGGGATGCAAACCCTGACGTCAGCCTGCGCAGCCCCCGCAGCAGTCCGCGAGCCTGGGCATGAAAGAGACGCTGTGTTCCCTGACAGCAAGACGAGACTTGTGGGGCTGCAGCAGAGGAAGGGTGGCCCCGGCTGGCTGAGTCTTTTCCTCCTGCAAAGTCAAGGCAGCATGAGCGAGGCCACAGCTGCCACATCCAGCCAGGACCCCTGCCCTCCCTGTCCCCTCGCTTTGGGCCCTGCGAGCCGAGTGGAGACCGAGAGCCCAGGAGGCCCTGTTTCACCTCCTGCTGCAGTATGCCCAAGGTCACCCCTTACCATGGCCCTGCTGCCCAGCGCAGGGTATGGGCACGTGGCACCCACCTTTGCCATTGCAGAGCCTGCTGGCCCTTCCAGCACCCACATCCGCTTGCCCATCTGCTCGCTCTCCTGCAACCCTAATGGAGCACCTGGCCAAGCTCCAGAGTGGCACAGGGACGTAATAGCTATCGATTCTGGACAGGCAACTGAGCAGCTTCCCACTGGGCTGGGGCAGCAGGCAGAGCCTCGGCCATGCTATGGCGGAGCAGACACTGGGAATGCACTTGCCTCCTCGCTGGAGTGGTGGAAATGCAGGGCACAGGGGCTGCGACTGCCAGGCTGGTACAGGGCCACACGGGAGGGACTGAGCACTCAACAACCACTACCTAGCCCAGATATGGGAACTGGGGCAGGTGGGCTGGAGGAAACCAGCTGTGTCAACAGCCGCCCCGATAGTGCCGCTCGGCAAGAGCCACTCTGCTTCGCGCGGGAGGCGCCGCACAGCTTCAAAGGTGCCCGACAAAGCCCTTTTGACCCAGGGTGACTAACCAGTGGTGGGGCCCCCAAACTTAGTGTGCCACAGGAGAGGCCCCACACCCCATGAGGGCACACCATCCTCCAGCTTTGGCCTCAGTCATTTCACAGGTGCAGCACATCAGACACCAAACAAAGAGGGAAAATCCAAGCACTACACAGGAAAGGAGGTGCTGGAAAAACAAGTGAATGCCCAAGAGAATGAGTCTGGAAGCTACACCGAGTGCACATAGAAAAACAGTTTTGCAGCAGAAGCACCTCTGCACCTGCATGAGCCTGCACTGTCTGCCTGGCCCCTTCAGTACCCACAGACCCAGTTGAGTGGGGGGCCAGAGGCAGGCTGTGCCCCAAGCTGCTCTCTCTAGAACCTTGACACCCCTGTGCTGTAAGAAACCAGGCCAGGCTGTGCCACTTGGAGGTCTCTAGCCCTTCAGCACAGGACCCTGAGAGGGAAGGCGAGCTGCTGGCAGGCGCAGCTGACCCGCTCGACACGAGCGCCCTCGTCCCAGCAGCGATGCAGCCGGGAATGTGAGCTCAGAGCTGGGGAATGGCAAGCATGCAGGGCTGGTACCGTCCCACTGCCCATCCTGGGCCCTTTGTGGGGGTGGACGAGTAGGCAGCAGGCCCCACCCCGCCTGCACAAGATCCATGGCCCCCTGCTCCTTCAGGGCAGGCTGGATTCCAGGGTGAGGGGCTCAGCCAGGTACCAGACCTCCTGGGGTGGGCAGTGGGCTGGAAGGAGCCCCACAGCTTGACTATAAGTGCTACTACCTGGGCGCCACAAGGGCTCACCAGGGCAGCCCTGGAGCTGGGGTTGTCCCCCAGGGTCACAGGCACCCCAGGACAACAGCCTCTCTGGCGAGTGGCGTGACCTTCCTCACACCCGGCAGAACTGCAGGGAGCCTGGGCAGGGCTGGAGACCTGTCGGCAGCTCAGGGAGCGGAGCCGAGCTCCAGTTTGCACCATGCACCCCAGGCACCTGGCACAGCTCCAGCGGGAGACCTAGAGATCTGGAGAGAACGCCTGCAACAAGCAAGCAGGGAAGGAAGGAGAGCCCCTGTGCCTTTCCATCTGGCTCGCGGACAGCCGGCCAGCAGCCAGGGCTTCACAAGAACAAAGATTTGCTTTTAGAGCCAGGGAAGGGGGCGGGGAGCGGCACAGCCTCTCCGCCACCTCCCGCCGTGCGAGGTGCGCGAGGAGCCTGGCGCCTGCTCGCGGGAGCCGGCGTGGAGCACGGCTGTGTCTGCTGCACAACGCAACACCCCAAGGGGGAGGCGTGGGGAGCCACAAGCAGGATAGGATGCTGCAGGTATCCAGGGGTGCAGGTTCCTCACTCAGGAAAAGCAGCCAGAGGTAGATCCTTCCTGCTCCCGACACTTGCACACCCACCGTCCTCCTCCACCTCGGCACCACTGCCCTGCATCTGCACAGCTCTGCGGGCCAGGGTACCCCAACACCTGACTCACTGAGCAGGATCACCTGCACCCCTTCCTCCTCATGGAGCTAGGGAACAGGGGTGCAGAACCTCAGCTCCCTCCCAGCACAGCCATGCTTTGGTGGCAAGATAGGAACAGAGCCAAAGCACCTTCCGCCGCACTCAGTGCTGTGGGAAACAGTCCCTTAGGACTCCCCAAAGTAAACACAGCCCCCATCCATACCCTGACCATCAGCAGTGGGAGCTGACAGAGCTCACAGCCCCCTGACCAGGTGACAACAACCACCAGGAGGACACAAACAGCCACTCAAACAGCCACCTATCACACTCGAGAAGGGGCTGGGATGGCAAGTACAGCCTTTGCACTGGGTCTATCCCCTCCCTGGGCAGGCATCCTCAACCGGCATAGCCCCAGGGAGGTCAGGGCTCCCTCAGGGGCCTCTCAGCCCACCTGGGGACAGCTTGGCCACGGCACTTCGAGCTTCGAGGAAGCATCAAGCCTTTTGCCGCGTCTGGGCTCACAAACACCCCAGCGCAGCCAACCAATAACAGAGGTGTTCAGCACATGTGCAGCAAGGAAGGGGATCCCAGCCCGGGCTGGGAAGGTGGAAGCAGGCTGCCTTTGACTCTGCCACTGAGCTCTCCCATGGCGGGAAAGCCTGGCCAGAGCAGGCTTCCCCCACACTATAAGCCACCGCGTGAGCGTGGCACGGAGCAATGAGGTGTTGGGGAAGGTGTCAGAAAGGTGAGGAGTGGCCAGTGCAGCATATCTGCTCCCTGGGCAAGGGCAGGAAATATATATCGCCCCCTTCCTCCCCCCGCGAAAAAAAAACAAGGGGAAAAAATAGACTGGAAAGAAGTTAAAAAAAGAAAGGGCGCCAAAAGCCAGGAGAAACTCGCTACTCGGGGCAGGGAGGGGAATATTGAGAGAGAAAAAAATGAGCTCCTTAGAAGGGAAAGGGGGACTACTTCCCAACCACCGCGGCACCTCGCCCCGAACAGCAGCCTCCTCGTGGCCACAAGTCCGGCTGCTCCGGTCGCCCCGCCGCCCTGGTTGTGGGGCACTGCCTTTTAGGAGGCTGCTCGGGCCGCGCTCCGCGAATTGCTTTGCCAAACAAAGCGCAGGGGAAGGGGCCGGCCGCCCGCAGCTGTGCCGCCCAAGCGCGGACGCAGGTGCGCCGGGGCCGAGCGGAGCGAACCGGGCCGAACCAGGGCGGGCCTCCCGGAGAGCCCCCCGCCACGGACGCCAGCCCCACTCACCGCAGCAGAGCAGGAGGCAGCAGCCCCAGCGCAGGGCGAGCGCAGCCGCCCGCCGCCCCCCAGCCATGCTCGCCGCCCGCGACTGAGCGGGACCCGCGGGCTGGCG